TGAGGGTGGGGGGCTCCTGAGGGACCGGGGGCACCCTGGGCAGGCTGGGGAACTCCCAAGGGGGCTGAAGGGGACCTGGGAAGGGAGGAGGGTGCTGAGGGCTGCAGGAGGCTCTTGAGAGATAGGGGAGCCCTGAGTGGGGTTCCTGAGAGCCTGGGGTGGTTCTGGGGGGTGTCAGCCCTTGAGACTCCTCCATTCCCACCACCTGATTCCCTCCTCTCTCCCAGGCCGTGAGCAGCACCGGGAGCTCAGAGCGGCTGGAGGAGCAGCAGGAGGAGCAGCAGCTCGTGGTCCCCCCGGCAAGTCCCCACCCCACCTCAGGGGTCCCAGCCCCCATGTCCCCTCATTGCTCCATTTTTGCTGTTACAACCATATAAAACCATGCTGGGTGTACAGACCTCTCTGAAGGGGCTTTCCCGTSGGCCACAGGGTCTGTTCCCTGAGGAAAAACCTTGGGATTCAGAGTCAGTATTTGGGGTGACACTGTGTTCCCTCTGTCCCCCTCAGATTCCAGCTCTGGGGCAGGAAGGTGTCCTGCAGGAGCTGATGCTCGGAGTGGGGCAGCCCCCAGACCCTGGTGAGCTTTTCCTGCTTTCTTTGGATAAATCGTGGTGTTTCCTGGTGGGAAATTAATCTGGGGGAATTGGAGGGACCCCAGGTATCAAGTAGGGGGCGGGTCTCAGTCAAATCCATCTGGTCCCAGATTATTTCTCTAATTCATCCATGATAAACCTGGGTGACCTGGGTGACCCCAGTTGGGATTTTAGTTGGAAAAGGGGAAATAGAGCCCTGGGATGTGCTATGGAGTGTTGGGGGAAAGGAGGAAACCCCCCACTCCATGTCTCCCACCCAGATCTGACTCCTGTACTCCTTCCCTTGGGCAGGGATCAGCGAGGAGCAGCGCCGGGCTCGGGAGGAATGGGAGGCTCTGGAAGAGATCCAGTCAGGTRCTGGGACTAACAGGGGCCTGGCAGCTGGAAAGGTCCAGGAAGGAGTAAAGGACCTGCATCCTTTAGGAGGGCAGCATGGGTGGGGAAGAAGCTGGGGGTGTTATTTGGGTGTGGAGGGGAGGCAGAGCGTGGGAGATTCCATTTTCCCCCTATTCCCCACGGCTCTATTCTGCTGGAATTGGGGATCATTCGTGGGACAGTCAGAGGTCACTGGGGGTCTGACCCACTCCCTGCCTTCCCGCAGGGTTGGGGGGCACCTCAGCYGCGCCCCCTCCTCCGATTTCCTTCACTGAGGCGCTGCAGTACTTCCAGAGCGCGGAGCTCTCCGAGAGCCGGGTACGGCCGGGCTCCGGCTCCCRTCCCCTTGGCAGGACTGTAGGAAGTAGGACTGGGGGGCACCAGCCCCCTCCCCCAGCCTGTGGCCACATTCCCTGATGGGTTTGGGGTATTTCTTGTGCAGGGGAAGGTGCGGGTGCTGAGACGCCGCGGGGGCCTGGCTGCCCTGCTCCGCTGCCTCCGGGGGCCTCCCCAGCTCCGGCCACAGCTCCGGGGAGAGCAGGAGCTGGCGCTGGCCATGGCACAGTGTGAGTGACCCCGGGGTTCCCTTTGCACCCTGATGGAGCTCATCCCTGCTCCCCAYGGACACAGCTCCAGGCTGGAGGCCTCTGGCTGCACAGCCCTTCCTGCCCCCCAGTCCAGGGGCAAACAGGATGGGATGGGGATCATATGGTCCTTTGGCATGACTGGGGTCAAATGCACGTGGAAACCCTGGGCCTGTGGGTTTGGAATCCAAGGTGCCATTTTTGGGCACTGAGGAGTTTTTTAAGCTACCAAGTTGTGGTTTTTAGGTGCTGTGAGAGCATTTTGGGGGGGTGTGGATTTGGTTTTGGGCACTGAGGGACATTTTCTGGGCACTGGGGTTTTTTTAGGGTGTTGAGGGATGGGTTTAGGGTCTTTTGAGTGCCGGGGGTGTTTTTGGGGAACCGGGAGGATTTTTAAGTGCCATGGGGCATCAGTTTGGGTGCTAAGGGGAATTTTTAGGTAACAAGGGGCTTTTTTTGGAGGATGTGAGGTTGTTTTTTAGGTGCCAAGGGATGTTTTTGGGGGGCAAGGGGTGGTTTTGGGGCACTGAGGGACTTTTTTAGATCCCAAGAATGTTTTTAACCAGCTGAGGGGTTGCCTCCCTCCCTCCAGGTGCCCTGGATGACTCTGAGCGGGTGCACATGCGGATCCTCCAGACCATCTACCAGCAGCTGACACGCTCCAAGCTGGGCTGTCCACGCTATGGAGCACACTGGGAGGAACTGGGCTTCCAGGGTAGGACAGGGACCAACCCTCTGCCTGGGGACAGCCCCAAGCCTATTCCCAAAATCCAACTAAATCTCCCCTGGAGCAACTCTGTCCTATCCCCTCTCCCTCAGCCCCTCCATGTGCTCCAGACCCAGCTCCATTGCCCTCCTTTGGACTTGCTCCAGCACCTCAATGTCATTTTTGCACCCCAAAACAGATCCCAGGTTTTGATCACCACATGGTTCTCCTACTCCTGTCCCTATCTACAAAATTCTCAAGGGCACTCTCAATCCCTTTATCCATAACGGTGTTAAATAAAACTGTCCCCAGTACAACAGCTTGAYTGGTCAGCTGGGTCATGCCCCTAAAAAAATTGGTAATTCCTGGAAAAGTGTGGGAATGGGAGTGGTGGTGTTAATGCCCAGATGAGTGAGATGATGGCCCCATTAGGGAAATTCCCTGAAAGCTTTTCCTCTAGTAAAGGATTCCTAGGCTGGAAGTGCAGTGACAGGGAGTACAGGGAATAAACAGCCCATGGAAGTGGGAAKGTGACAGGGAGTGGTCCATGCTGTCCCTTACCTTCCCAGGTGCAGATCCTGGGACTGACCTGCGTGGGACGGGAATGCTGGGGCTGATGCAGATCCTGTTCTTTGTCCTGGATTCCCGGACACTGCCACTGGCACGGGAGATTTTCCAGCTTTCCCAMCATGAAACCCAGGCATGATTTTTCCCCTCCTCCCTGCCAGGGGGTCTCCCTTGGAATTCCCAATGCTCTGGGAAAGGGAAGAACAAAATCCTTCTCTTCTGAGATGTTTCTGGGATGCTGGTGAGGGGAAGAAGGTGGTGTCCAAGGAGCCCTGATCCAGGCTGAAACAGATCCAAGTGCTGGATTTATGCTGGGAATGGGATCTTAGAGRTTTGATCCTGGCTTGGAGTGGGATAAACAGGCTGGAGAGTTGGGCAACAGGAAGATGGGAGTGATTGGAGCCTATCTTCTTAAATTCCACATTTTAGCCTAGGTTTAAGCCTGGATACAAGGTCAGCTCAACCCTCAGCATCCATCCAAGCCTGGATCTGTAGGGCTGTTATCCCAGTACATGCATCCCATGGATCCATCCCATGGATTTGTGGATGCATGGAAGCAGTGTCAAAAGGCCAGGGGTACCCAAGGGGAGGAGGGTTTTCCAACTGAGCTTCCATAATGCTGGAATTCTGATTATTTTCCAGAATTTTCCCTTCTGCATCATGTCCGTGAACATCACCCGGATTGTCATCCAGGCTCTGCGGGAGGAGCGGCTCTCCCGGTGAGTGGGCGCTGCTTTTGGAGTCCCAAAATGCATCCCAGGTCCATCCCCCTCCCAGAACGTGGCTGAGCCCCTGTCCYCCTGTTGTGGTTTGAATGAATTCAATGGGAGCAAAACACTCCCAAGTTCCAGCAAACCTCC